CTGGGAAGCATGGGTGGACAAGCTGACCAACCACCTCGACTTCCATGACATCACCAACGCCGGTAAGAAGAGGGCCCTGCTAGTGAGCTCAGGTTGGGTGACCACCATCCGTCTGGTCAAAGGGCTCATCGCTCCGGTGAAGCTGGAGGACAAAACGTATGATGACCTACTAAAAATCTTGAATGGCTACTTCGTGCCAAAACCCACAAAGATGACAAAACATATGGACTTATGGGCACGTACGCAAAAGTCTGGGGAAGCCGCCACCGTTTACATGGCAGAGCTACGACAGCTAGCCATGGATTGCGAGCTGCCAGGGGTCGAAGAGATCATCCTCACACAGTTCATCTGGGGCCTCCGTGACCCCAAACTAAGGAGGAAGCTCATGGGAACCGCCAAGCTGACAGCCGAGACCACACTGCAGACAGCCAACACATTCGAAAAGTTGCGTCGGGATTGACCGCCATCAGCAGCGTCACACCAGATGTCCCCCGCAATGGACCCAAGCTCCTCAGACGAGGAAGATGTGATACAAGTCTGGCGGCCCGCTCGACACAACTCCTGTCCTCCACCGTCCGGGACAGCCTCCAGTTCACCAGCAACCTGTGCAAGCTGTGGAGAGGCGCACGAAAGACGGTTCTGTTGGTTCCGGGATGCCGTTTGTCGCTCCTGTGGAAAGCAGAGCCACATCGCCCGCGCCTGCAGGTCCAAGGGAAGCCAACCGCATCTTGTCCTGGATTATGGACTGGGTGGGGAGGGGCTGGCCCGCAGGTCAAGTGGGCCTAGAATTTGCTGCATATACATCCAGACGGGATGAACTGTTGGCACATAAAGGGTGCCTCCTGTGGGGAAGTAGAGTGGTGATTCCCTACCCCCTGCAAATGCTCGTGCTAGAGGCGCTGCACAAAACCCACCCGGGGATCGTGCGCATGAAAGCCTTAGCGCGCAGCTACGTGTGGTGGCTAGGGATGGACGGGGAAATAGAGGGACGGGTTAAACACTGTCAACCCTGCCAAGAAACGAGACCAGCCATGGGAACCCTCACCCAAGCCCTGGGCTCGCCTGCACGTGGATTTTGCAGGCCTGTTCCAGGGACAGACATTTTTCATTCTAGTAGATGCATACTCTAAATGGCTGGAGATACTCCCTGTCGCATCTACGTCATCCAGAGCTGCAATCAAGGACATGTGGAAAATATTTAGTATATATGGAATCCCCAACACTCTGGTGTCGGACAATGGAACTGCGTTCACGTCTGCTGAGTTTCTGGAGTTCATACAGTACTATGGAATTCGGCATGTCCGTTCTGCACCATTTCACCCAGCCACTAACAGCCAGACGGAACAAATGGTGCGCACAACCAAAGAATCGCTCCGCAGGGTCATGCAGGGCAAATGGGACTAGCGGCTAGCGACGTTCCTGTTCAGACAATGGACTACACCACACTCCGCCACAGGTCGTTGTCCCGCTGAACTCCTGATGGGCCGGCACTTGACAACCTGGCTGGACCGCTTACATCCAGACCAGGCCCCCGACCACAGCCCAGGCCTGGTCCAACGAAGAAGCACCGCGAGAATTCTTTCCAGAGGATCCAGTATACGCTTGGAACTATGGCAGAGGACAACCTTGGGTGCCAGCCCGAGTGGTAGGGGTGACAGGACCTCTCTCTTACGAGGTCGCTACAGAAGAGGGCCAGCACCTATGGAGGCATGTAGACCAACTCCGCCGCCATCTGCTACCTTGCGATGACCAGAGGGCCACAAACAAAGAGGACAGCAAAGTGGAACTGCAGCCCGAGGAACAAGCGTATGTACCAGCAGAACTAGATGTGCCAATGGTTCCAGCCCCAGGCCCCACTCCAACGCTGAACCCCGAACAGACATCCACCACCGGGACATCGCCAACCACCATGACAGTGCCAGCAGCATCAAGCAATGAACCAGGGGCTCCCCCGATGGAGCTCCACCGATCAACGAGAGAACACCGGATGCCAGAGTACTTGCGGGACTATGTATGTTAGTAATTTGGAACTATGGGGAGAGGGGTGTAATGTATCAAGATGGCCACAACCACGTGGGCCTTGCCATGCGGTCAAGCTAACCTTCAGACCATCGGTCCGAGAACAATAGCCAGCTCGGATCCTAGCGCAGGCCAATAGGTTCGCGCGGATCCAGAACAAGCACCTATTGAAATTCGAGCTTATAAATAGAACAAATCACGGATAGCAGGGGTGTGTTGGGTGTGAGCGGGGAACCTTGGACCGGCTAGTTTATCTTCCGTATTCCAATGTAACCCATAAAATTTAGCTGTTTTCACCATGCTATACCTGGAACCTCAATACTTTTCAAAGTGATAAACTGTTAGCCTATGAGGAGCTACAGGGGCAAAAAATCTCTGTGCTCCATTCTTCCATCCTCCCCTGTCAAAGTCCACATTGTTTAAAAACTTGGACATAGGAGCATATTTTTAGAAGCTAAACAAATTTATTCTAATGCATTTAATTTGAATTTCCTGAATCGAGAATATGACATGGGAAAAACAGATCACATGATGGGAGTCGCAGCCTAGGATTGGCCTTGTTGGATCAGGGGAATGCAGTAGACATAGTTTATCTTGATTTCAGTACGGCTTTGATAAGGTTCCACATAATACTTTTGTTGACAAGTTGTTAAAATGTGGTTTGGATCCTATTACTGTTAGGTAGATCTGTAACTGGTTGACAGATCGCACCCAAAGAGTGCTTGTTAATGATTCGTCATCCTCTTGGAGAGGAGTGACAAATGGAGTGCGTCAGGGATCTGTCCTGTTCAAAATTTTTATAAATGATGTGGATGAAGGAATAGAGAGAATGCTTATTAAATTTGCAGATGATACTAATTTGGGAGGGATAGGTAGCAAATCAGTCAATCCTAAAAGATCAAATCAGTCAATCCTAAAAGAAATCAATCCTGACTGTTCCCTGGAAGGCCAGATACTGAAACTGAAACTCAAATACTTTGGCCACTGTTGTGTATGTAATATAATGTGTGAAGGTATTGAACTTGAGTCTGACTAAGGTATCGTAAAACGACCTATCAGAACAAAGGTAGTTCTGGAGGGAAGCAAAGTGATTGGTCTTTATGTACAGTTTATGATTGGTTACTATCTGACATGTGGGCGTGGCTTTCCAAGCCCGGACAGTTGAAAAAGGAGCCTGTTACTCCATTGTTTGTCTCGTTCTGGTTCTTCTGACTTTTGTGTTCAATAAAGTTGTTATCACTGTTCACAGTGCTGCCTCGAGTCTCGTACCTAACAAACTATGGAGCAACAGGCTCCTTTTTCAACACACTACCCATCTGCTGTCCTTGTTGAAGTGGAGAGAAATGCCATGGATGAAATGAACTGTGCCTGGAACTGTCTTTACTTTGGCTTTATGCATCAGGCCTCAGAGATCAGGGAAGAATTAAAATGTCCAGACAGGGACATCCTTTCTAATTGGGGAGGGTGTGTGTGTGTGTGTGGAGGGGACACATGTTGAAGATCTT